GAGGCAGGAGACTCGCTTGAGCCCAGGAGTTGGAGGTTGCTGTGAGCTGTGATGCCACAGTACTCCACCCAGGGGGACAGCTTGAGGCTCTGTCTCAAAAAAAAACCAAAAAACAAAAAACAACCACCATTCTACTTCTTACTGTTCTGTTTAACTGGACGCTGCTTCTGCCTGGTCATGTGACTTGTGACTGCATGGTTGCTTGAGCACTTATCAGACTTTGCTTGTATCCTGTCTGTCCATGTCTTATTAGCCAAAGCAAGTCAGATGTGTAGGCCTAGACTTAGTGTAGAGAGAGCATGGAAACCAAGAGGTACCATTCACATGGGGTCATTTGTAACAAATCCCAACAGACTTCCAGCGCTACATTACTATGTACCTTCAGGAAAGTCATTGTACTTATATGCAACAGATTTCTCACCTATACAAAGGCCTTAATATTATAGTATCAGAGGATTATAATGAAGTTTAAATTTTTAGCAATTAGTTTTTTCTGTTTACAGAAGTAATACTTTTGTCATTGTACGAAATACGCACATTGTAGAAAAGTAAAGTGCCTCAAGGGCTTTCTCTGTTTTATTTGCTAATGTAAACATGTATCTTTGTTCTTACTTTGAAAGGTAAAGTCCTTGAAGAAAGAGACCATATTTTATTCATCTCTATAAATCCCATAGCTTTTCATTTACAATTAAAAGCAATAATACAGGGTGACCATAAAGTTCATGTGTAATTTAAAATCGTTTACTATTTTAAATAGTAAATAGTGTATAGAGAGTGTTTAGCCTAGCGTCTGGCATAGATTCGGGATTCTTAGAAATCTGGATGTTATGAGAGTAAGAAAAGTATACTGAGAGCAAAGTATTTACATGGAATTGTGGAGGATGTCTTTCCAAGTTTCTCCACCTTGTCATAGGTGAGAGAATTGTTGCATACAAGTACAGTGGTTTTCCCAAGGACATGTAGTACTATAGAGCTGGAAATCTGTTGGGATTTGTTACAAACGGCCCCATGTGTATCATACCCCCTGGATTCCATGCCCTTGAGCAGACCTCTCTCTACTAATGTTCAGCTAGCTTCTCACTGGGGTATCCTGGTGACTCATGAGGTAGAGAGTGAGGAATGAAGAGAAGGAAGCTGGCAAGGTCTTAGATCCCAAACTGCTCAGTGCAGAGGCCTCTACTTAAAGCTTCATTAAAAAAAAAAAAAAAAAATCAGGCGGCGCCTGTGGCTCAAAGGAGTAGGGTGCTGGCCCCATATGCCAAAGGTGGCGGGTTCAAACCCAGCCCTGGCCAAAAACTGCAAAAAAAAAAAAAACCCCAAAAAGGTTTAATCTATGAAAGATTTTATTGTTGAATACTCAAGTCTGACATTAGTATAAAAAGGTATTCTTGATACTCAAACAAATCTTACCTTTATGTTTCAGTCAAAGAAGTTTGGCAGAGATCACAGAGCTTATCCACACTGCCCTCCTTGTACATCGTGGGATCGTAAATTTAAGTGAATTGCAATCTTCTGATGGGCCACTGAAAGACATGGAATTTGGAAATAAAATTGCTATCCTGAGTGGAGACTTTCTTCTAGCAAATGCCTGCAATGGACTAGCTCTGCTGCAGAACACCAAGGTAAAACAGAGGGTTCGCGTGTGCCGGTTACAGCTTTCAGGAGGCTGGTGGGTGGCTGTGGGAGCCACAGAGGTCTGTGCACCCTGCTGCCTCAGCTTCCCTCATGCGGACATCAGTAAACTATGATGGAGATGATGAATGTCAACACCACGTAAAATGTAAATGTTAGGAAAGAATGTTAAAGTTAATTTCTATTTTTTCTGATTATAGCTGAAATTATTAATTATAAGATAGTGTTAAACCTTCAAAATATGGAAAATAAAATAAATATTACCTATAATCCCACTATGTAGAGATAACGTAGTAATCACTGTTAGTTAATATTTTGATATATTTCCTTGAACTCTTTTTTTCACTCATACCTTTGTATATGTAGATTTTTTTTCTATAGCATAGATGAGAACTTGCTATAAATAAGGTTTTATTACCCTGCCTATTTTTTCCCACTTGACATTATACTGTGAGTACTTTCTCATGTTACCAACATTTTTCATATATTTTTAAATGACTACATGATCTTCAGTCATTTAGATATAATTTAACTAAATTAATTGCACATTAGTGTTTATTTTTAACCACCATAAGTAGATCTTCAGAAAAAACATCTTTGCACATCAGTCTTCTCTGTTGCAGTTATTGCTTTAAGAAAACTACCTAAAAGAGGTGCAAAACATTTAAACATTTTTAGTATTTTTATTTGTTTGTTTGTTTTTTAGACAGAGCCTCACTCTGCCACCCTGGATAGAGTGTCATGGTGTCATCATAGTTTCCCGAAACCTCACACTCTTGGGCTCGAGCGATCATCTGCTTCAGCCTCCCGAGGAGCTGGGACTATAGGCACCCACCACTTCACCCAACTAGAAGGCTAGTTTTTCTATTTTTAGTAGAGATGGAGTCTCACTCTTGCTCTGGCTGGCCTCAGACTCCTGAGCTCAGGCAATCCTCCTCCCTCAGCCTCCCAGAGTGCTAGGATTACAGGTATGAGCCACTGTGCCTGGCTCATTTTTAGTATTCCTAATACCTATTGCCAAGCTACTTTTCTGGAATGTTCATAGAGGATTTCCAAGTATATGAGGATTTGATTTGCCTATAACAATAACCTAAGCAAGATAAGGAGTTTATTTTTTCTCTCATTTAAAAACATACAGGAGGCTGACATTCTTCGTTTCTTTCTTTGGGATGCCACACCATTCTCTCTCTCACTCCTTTTCTCTCCCACCTCCATCTTCCCTTCTCTCATTCCCTGCTGTCTTCTTTCTTTCTTTCTTATCTCTTCCCCCTGCTTTTGTCCCTCTCTCTAATATAAAAATAATCTTATCACTTATGTTTTAATCTTGTCCTAAAGAAAGTCTTATCCTGTTGGTATCCATAGCTCAGTTGGTAGGATGCCAGCCACATACACCGAGGGGGTGGGGTGTCAAA